ACTTTTAAGGGTTGCTAATGTGATTCATTATTTGAAATTAGTATATAAAAACTGGCAAATTTAATTTACTGTGCAAAAATTTAAAAACCTCTCAGACTGAGTTTTCCTTGAATAGCTTTTTGATCACTGAGGCTAGCTAAGTCTATTCTATACCAAAGCTTTGTCACAGCCTTTGCATTTTTATCAACTTTTTAAAATTTACGTCAATATTCAAAAGTCTTTTGCGCTTCTGAAAAAAAAAAAATAAAAACAAAAATAAATTCTTCTAGGAAGTGACCCAACGTATACGAGCATAACATTCATGCAATATTTATTAGTGACATCAGTAACCATTTTTCCAGTTGCTGAAACAGAATTATTGCTGCAAAAATTACTGTTAATTGACACTATGGTACAGTGATAGCATCTTTATATGGCAATAGCCTACAACACCTGGTTTAACTCCTCAATATTCAAGTTTTCAAGTTTTTTGTTTTTAAAAACAATTACATGGGGAAGTTGCTCATTAAATTGGATAAACAGTTAATGGGTGCAAAGCCATTCTTCTTCGCTTTTTTGTTCAAGTTCAGCAAAACCCCTTTTCTTGGTTGCGGTATTAGAACAAAATCGTGGTTACCATAGCATAACGTAAAAATTACTTGTAGAAGAAAAATGCTGAAACTGAACTGACTATCAAACGGTTTTTATGGCATTAATGACTTTCTGAAAATTGAAAAAGTATGCAAATGAGAAGATGCAGTAAATTCAACAGCAAAAAAAAAAAATGCAATCATTTTCTTAATCAATTTATTTTTATAAGAAAAAATAAGATACTTTCTAATTATAATTGCCTAATGAGATAAAAATCAATTGAAGGCAAATTAAGGTGTAGCCAAAAAAAGAATTTAGCTCTTTTAAATCACTGATAAATTCAAGCCTTCATCTTTATGTAACATTTGCAGTACTGATAAAACTTATATTTTTCCACTTAAATTTATTAAAAATGCTCTGCTTATATCCTGGAAAAGTTAAGATTCTGAAAACAGTTCCACCACAATAATTTACAGCCATTTGCAAAAGTATTCTTACACAAGTTTTCATCGCCTTTATTTAACACCAAAAAAATTTTGCCAAGCAGGTTTTCTAGCAAGCGCTTTGCAGGTATCCGTTTTTATCCATTTATCCCTCTGTTCAGTAGAACGTTTCTGATTACAAGAATAGTCTGGCTTTCTTAAGAGTAAAAAAAAAACAGGAAAATGTAGCATGCAATAGAAGTAATATAGTAACAAAATAATTGATAATTTGCTTTGCTTGCTTTATTAAAAAACCCAGTTTGCCGTAATTCCATCGTGTAGTATAAAGTTGCCAACTGCCAAAAAACAGTGGTTTTCGCTCAGTTGCGTTTCACTTTTCCAGTACACAGCCACATGGTAGCCAATACTAGTTTCTCTTTTTGCACTTTTTCCTCAGAATTAACCTTTTCTGGCCTTCTGCTTTATTTCTTTTGTTTCAACTGAGGCTGGTGTAGTCCTCTCATCCTTTTACTCATTTTAACATAATACACTACAAAAGTAGTCTTGAATAAAGAAAACAAACAAAGCAATAGAAGATGACAAGCCTCACACTAATCTTGTCATCACCAGCGTTGACAGTTCCTCCTTTCACAGTTCTGTAAACTTTTGTTGGGGAAAATGAGGAGCAAAGCTGCAAAAAACGCATTTATTTTCTTTTCATCTTCCTTTTAGTGCTGGTCTGCTCCCCTTTTTTCCCTACCAATCTTCCCAGAAGAATTTCGCCCGGAATTTTACTTTCTAGTGAATGATCAGAGAAGAAAAAACGGTCAAAAAAGTTTACCTGTGAACTAAATCATTTCTGCCAGAAATATTTATTGTATAAAGGGGACATGATGAGGTTTTGAAAGTGCAGGTTGCGGTACATTCAGCACTGCTGCCAAAACAAATAGAAATTTTAGCTGACTTTAGTATAAATCACATTAATTTATAGACAATAAAGAAGCCAGAATAAAAAAAGAATAAAATACCAACAATTATTTCCGTGTATGCTTTAAGAGCTAAATATATTCAGACAATCCAGACAATGATGTGATTTTTTGTTTGTTTCTCGCACACATAATTTACAGCTGAAAGTTACTATTAGACAAGCCGAATTCTCTGAATTTCTAGGACTTGTCATAAAGAAGAGTTGTTTAAATTCTAAATCGCTAGACAATTCAAGGTTTTGAATCGATATTCAAGTTTTTTTAGAAACTGGAATTATTTAATCGCATTGTAATCTTTTGTGATAATTCTGCACAAAACCTTTTTTCAGAAGTTCTGAATACACTGTTGTGAGAAAACAAAATTTTACACGTTTTGCTTCGTCATCTCATAAACTGCTTCTTCTAAAAAAAGTAATAAAATACCTACCTTGATGGAATAAGCTTCCACTATCTCCAAATCTCTTGTTGCATAATTAAGGTTTACGTGACCTTCGATGTAGTTTTAAGCAAATGTTTTACTGCCTTGCAGATCACTTTTATCATACTAATACTTCGTAAGATCCCGTAAAGAAAATATCATAATAATAAAAGTAGGTGTTTGCTGTACCGTCCTGAAAGCTTAAAACAGCATTTTAAATTGGTGGTGAACAAAATGTGGATATGGAAAAACTGTATAAACAATTTAACAGACAATATACTTAAGTTACAAAACAGTGAGGAAGAAATGAATATATTTACTGTTCGAACTTTTGGCAAATTCAAAACAGTTATCATAAATAAACAATCTCGGTGATTTCCAACACCATTTTCAATGTACAAGTCCAATTAAGCAGCAGCTAAAATAGATTTTGGTGGTGAAAGATGCACTACGATCACCTAAAAACACAACTTACAAACATCAAATAGAAAATTGACAAAGCCACATGCAGTAAACATTTTGACTTTGCAATACTTCACTTCTATACTATACAATGAGTCTTTTCAAAGTAATATAAATTACTGCATTTTTATTTATCAATCTGATTTGCAATAAATTTATGCCTTATGTCCTTCAGGTTTTTGAAAATTAACTAACGATTACTGTTACCTAATATAACACAACTTTTTAGATACTATCCAGAATCACTTTTCTCGGCCACCTTTTCTTCCTTTTAAACCAAAAAGAAAACAACGTAAAAAAACTTGTTCATTTATGTCTGATGTTAATATTCTGTGTGTTATATCGTCGTCCATAATTGAAGGCATGTGCCGTTAGCAGAGATAGGCTGAGCGAAGCAGAAGTATAAGGTCGCCGCGCTTACATGTGAGGTTATTACACATTATCACTTCTAATTACCAATTCGATAAGCTAGAAACGTTTGCTTTTAATAATGCAAGCAACATGACAAGGTCCGTTTTGAAGTGTAATTACAAATTCTAATTTTCCCCTGTTAAACATTCAGTATTAAACCTTCTTCGTGGGTAACATTGCAGGAAAAGCTTTTTATAATGATTATTTGGAGGCATAAAGAGAATCAGCTTTGGTAGGGAGAAAAAGGAAGAAAAAGAGGAAAATTGAATGTTTATTTTTTAAATCTTACACTATATCGTAATGCAAGAAAGGTTTATATAAGGTAAACTGCTTTTTTTATACAGTCATCTGAATTTGCACACACTGTCTGACGGAATCAACTGTTTGTAGGTACGTGTATGAAGACTTGATACAGCTTAATGTAAACTGTTGTTCTTTGTCAAGAAAGGATAGTGATTCGGAAATAACAGCTGTATTCTTTATTTAGGAAATTTAAGCCAAGAATAATTGTATACAATTTTTAAACCAATGTTCACTGAAGCACAATCATGAAGAAAAGAAAATTAAATGCTCAGATTTATGACGTGTGAATCTTATCTCTGAGATGCAGTAGAGAGAAGCCCTTATACAATACATACTACAGTTTATAACTTCTGCTTATTATGACGGTGATATTCGTAATATCAGTATTGTGGAGCAAGCAAAGATAAGCAAGAATGACAGCAGCAACCAGCGGCAGATCATTTCATATTTATGACTACCTCAATTAAAAGACTTAGTAAATGCAACTGAAGACGTTTTACTTTAGATGAAGATCTGTGCTGAAAGTCAACAACAAGCTTTCTTTTCATTTATCATAACACACATTTTTTCCACTGAATTTGTGTTTCAGATTCTAATTTCCAATTTCTATAACAGACTGAAATGAC